GACATCAAGATTGTTGGGGGATGGACTTTGATTATAGTCGGCTAGAACACTGTGTAGACTCCTCATGGTTGGAGTGGTGGGGTTGAAGCAGTATGATTTCCCTGAGAAGACTGGTTGGTGAAGACTGGAAAACAGTCCTGATGAGTGACTTGGGAGGTACCAGTAAAAGCTGGTCCTGGGGCAGCCACAGTGTCACTTGTCTGGTTTTGTTGCTTTTCTGGGCCTGGAGCTGAAATACAACTGAGGCCTAGATGTTATCTTCAGGGAAGAAGAGATAACATCTAGGGATGTTACTCAGGGAGTCTGAACTGCCTGACTAGTGATATGAAAGGGGAGGTGGGTTACCCCTGGGGGTAAGTTTCTTGTTTTCCTAGTTTTTCCCCTTGCTAGGCATCTGGAGCTTTCTTCCCTGATGAGTTTCTGTACCTAGCCCATCATCCTTGCTCTAGTGTCAGGGAGTGGGTGAAGGTCTAACATTCGAATGGGGGGATGCCTAACATTTCCCTCCTCAAAGATTTTTGGCTGAATTCTTTCAGGGGGAAAATGGGGGGGCAGGGTCTCTTCCATAGCTGCTTCCTGGCCTTCAGACGTGTGTTCTGGAGGACTTTTCTCATCTAGGGCAGGAGGATAAACAAGCAGCTTGATTATTTTCCTCTCTGTCAGAGGGACGATGAGGCCTGGGCACAAAATGAGGTTGTGATGGTGTCTAGGAGTGGTATTTCCTGAGGACAAGTAGGGCTTGTAACCTGGTGGAGACAATCTGTTTTATAAATGTTAGTATTGTTGGGGCAAAAGCTAGAACAAAAATAATTATGACAAATGGTCTGGTGGAAGGAAAGAGACATTAGTTTGGGGGGCTGTAGCCAAATATTTAAGAAAACTAGATGCATGTAAGGTTTAGTTTGGTCTTAGATTCCATTTAGAATTTTTAAAAATAAAGAGCAAACAATATGCAAGATTTTAAAGCATTGCACATGGCTCACTGAAGTGTGTATTGAGCACTGGAAGCAATTCATAAACACCCCAATGTGTGGATCACAAACATTTGGAGTATTTCTGCCAGATGCCATCCAGAGGGAACTATTACTCTAGGCTTGCCCAGTGTCACTGACAGGATACCTGTTACTCCTGAGACTTTCCTGTTTGAACTCAGCTCTGAATCTTTGCAAGTTCCTTCCTAGAACAGATTGAAATTTCTAGAACATTATTTTTAAAACTAGTGACCCGGTGCATGGATTCAAGCACGTTGAAAGGAAATTAATTAGAAGGCGGCCAGTGGGGCAGGACTGGGTGAAACAAGCCGGACATGCCCTGGAGCCTACCTCCCGCAGTCCCTCCTCGACCACACCTGGGGGGTGGGGGTGCTGCTTCTCCAAGGGCATCTGCGGAGTGAGTAGGGTCCCTCTGGCAGCATAGGATTCAGAGGTAAGCCCAAGACAAGCTGCTGCTGCCTACTGCTCTCGGAGTAGCAAACTTGGGATGATCTGTGGAACCCTCCTGGGTTTCAGCACCAAATGTTAGGGTCCCCAAAGGAGGAACATAGGAGTCCAAAATGGGTAAAGAATTATGAATTTACTAGGTCATCTGTAAACCAGATGGGCTGAGCCTCATAGTGGCACCAGCACCCAGGGACAGAGTCAGAGATTTTAAAGGCCTCTAGATGGGCTTTTTCAGTGGGGAATTCTCTGGGTGGGTCCAGATCCTGGCCAAGTCCAGAGGGAAAAGATACTGGTCTTAGCAAATGGAATGTGGTCTAAGCAAAAGGGGATGTTGGTTGTGAAGTGGTCTAAAGGTCATTTCCCAGGGGTGGGAGGTATTGATTCTATTACTTGATCAGACCTAACAGTCATCAAGAACATCATTGAAGGGGGACAGGGACTGAGGCCACTCTGCCCTAGGATGGTCTAGAATATGTAAAGCATTTGCTCCTAAGTGTCATTGGTTAGAGAAGATAAAACCTTGTGATTCAAGGTTTTAAAGGATTTGAGCTGACTGTAAATTGCTCAAATCCTTTGGCCTTGTTTAATATTTTGTGCCAGTTTCCCTCATTCCACTTGTCAAGGAATTTCCCTTGCTTCTTACTATCCTGCCACCATAGCACACGCTTGCAGATTAAAGGATTTGAGCTGACTGTAAATTGCTCAACTCCTTCGGCCTTGTTTAATATTTTGTGCCAATTTCCCTCATTCCACTTGTCAAGGAATTTCCCTTGCTTCTTACTATCCTGCCACCATAGCACACGCTTGCAGACAGATAACTGTATCATCTCAGCCTGTAGTATCTGAACAGTGTTTCTGCTCCTACAGTCCCATCATTTCTTTGCCGACCGACAGTCCATCCCCGCCTGTGCAGTTCTCCCCCAAACCCACTCTCATTTGTAGCAACAGGAACAGCCAATTTTCCAAATCACTAAGTTGTGGGTCCATTTGCTTCACAGTTCATTCTTCAACTTGTCTCTCTCCTCTCAAAGGTGACCATGAGCATTCGGAAGGATCCAGGCCACATGCCACCATTTTGCTTAGGAATGTTTTCAGCTAAATATACAGTTTTGTGGGTCCCATATTCTACCTTCTAGAAGCATTAGAAAACAATTCATCTAAGTTATTTGCCCCTTTATAACAATGATAAACTCTTCTCCATTGTCTAAGACTATCTTTACCATTTCCGTCTGAGTACTCACCAAAATGGATATTACCATCCGTAGTTGTGCCAACATTCTATTCACCATTCATCATGCATTCTCTGAGAAGGTGGGGCTATCTCTCCACATCTCTGAGCCATCACCAGAATGACCATGAAGGTCCATATATCTGTTAGGTCTGATTGAATAATTGAATCCATACCCCTTCCCCTAGGAACTGGCCTTGAGACCATTTCACTGCCGGGGTTCTTGTCCCAGCATCAAGAAGCGTTCAGGAATCTGGAAAAGGCTGTGGGTATATGACATAGGAATCCAGGGACTAATAAAGAGTCCGGAGATGAGATATAATTTTGAAAGGCATTGGGGGGTCAGAGGACCTTCAGCTAAAGGAACTGAAGAGTACCTCCTTGCCTAGGACCCTTACTTTTATTAACACAATTTGTTCTAAGGCAAGGTGGAGACAATACACTTCAAAGGGTAAGGTTTCAAAGGGTACAGAAGCATTGTCAGTTTGGGGGAATTAGTCTACGGCTGTTCAGGTGTTTGGCCAGTAGGAGGCAATAACATGTAGATTAAGATGCCCTTTAACTGTCTGGCAGCCACAATCAGTTTCCTATTCAGGTTTGGGGAAATGCCTTCAGCCATTCCCAACAGATGACTCCATGTGTGACTCAACCCTGTTGAGTCCCCAAGTCTCATCAACCTTTTGATGAAACTCTTGAAATTATGACATGCTGGAATTGGTCTACGGCACTTCACAACCGACATTCCCTTTTGCTTAAACCACATTTCACTGACTAAGACCACATTCCACTTGCTAAGACCATTCTCTTTCCCCTCCGGACCCACCCAGAGAATCCTTGGCCCAGAAAAAGCCCACCTAGAGTCCTTTAAAATCTGTGACTCCTTCTCCCTGGGTGTGGGCGCTATTTTGGTGCTCAGTCCATCTGATTTTCCAGAGGACCTACTAAATTCACAATTCCTTACCCCTTTTGGCCTCATGCGTTCCTCCTTTGGTGACTCTAACAGTATCCACCAGCAGTCCATTCACAGTACCTAGACTTGTCCGCGCATGCACCTCAAGACCCCTTCAGCTTCTTCTCATTTCCAGCTCCAAAGCTGCTTCCAGGTCTTGGTAACAAATTTTATATTATTCTGCTCAGGCTCCTCTAACAAAACATCATAAACTGAGAGGTTTAAGCAATGAAAATTTATTTGTGTACCGATCTGGAGAATGGAAATCCCAGATCAAGGAGACAGAAGGGTCAGTGTCCTATAGGGTCTGTGCATGGGCTTCCAGGCGGCCCCTTCTTCCTGTGTGTTCTCATGGCCTTTCCTTGGTGTGAGAATGTGGAGAGAAACAGAATGAGCTCTCTGGTTTATCTGCTTTCAAGGCAAATGATCTTAATAAATCAGGACCTCACCCTTATTACTGTATTTAATCTACTTTCTTAGAGACCCCACTTTCCCAAATATGGTCATGCTGTGGGGGTTAAGGCTTCAGCATATGAATTTGTGGGGACACAAGCATTCAGTCCATAGCATTGATAATGCCCAAAACATTTATTATTGAATATTCTTAAAATGTATAAAGTCCAGTAGCATTGAATAAGAGACAGAGATATGGCACCGAGAACCTATATAAGTAATGAAATGAGACATCACTACAGATCCCACAGACTTCTCTAGTGTCAACTTAAATACAAGCTCCAATGACCAAAACATTGAGGTGATTTGGGAACACCAGAGGAATTGCAATTTGGGACATGAAAACTGTATAAACTACAGGTGAGTTCTCTAAGGATTTGAGGCAGGCTGTATTTATGGGCAAGAAATTCAAGGAGGTGGTGGGAAACTACAGTCCAAGTGGAAATTTTATTGTTGAGGATGGGGAGAAACTCTTGATGGAGGTTCATTGGCCAAAAATGTTTCCGTTTCCTGTAGATCAGACATTTATGGGGAATTACTCTTTCAGTCCGTAAATTTAGTTTACCTCAACTCATATGTAAGACTCTCCATTTCATACCCTCCAGTTCTATTTCAGAATGAAATCTTTTCACAATACAGTCAAACCTCAGTTCTCCAAGGTCTCCCATCTCAAGCAACTCAATTCTCCACCAAGTTGTTCAGGGGGAAAATGTCTCAGTTGTGGAACCAAGTTTCTGTTTTCCACCTGACAACCCCTTCATGCTGACAGGTGTCCCTCAGACAACAAACAGAGGAGAGAATGCGTTTGTTCCTGGGGGAAAACAAAACAGCCATTAGCACAATTTTAAAAATTGAGGCCATCAAGAGTGCTGATGTTGCTAGGGGGTGAAAGAGACAATGATCACAGGCAATGGAAGAGGTCGAAAAGCTGGTGTTGATTTGGATAAAGGAAAAGCAGTTAGCCAGTGACAGCCTTTTGGAGTCAGTGATATGTGAGCACCTAAAAGACAACCCTAGGACGAGTGCTGAAAGTTATTTATTTAAGGCTAGTAGAGGGTGGTTCGATGACTTTAAGAAGACAAGTGTTTGTTTATAGATTAAACAGTACATTAGATATGTTCTGTTTTTAAGAAAGGTTGAAACAAAATCACTTGGGAGGTCTGAAACAGATTCAATTTACAGTACTTATAATGGGGAGGGTGGAGAACCATTTTCGAACAAATCACTTCCCAGCCTTTCACAACAAATTAAGAACCGAGGTTTGCCTGGCTGGCATGGCTCAGTGGTTGAATGCCGACCTATGAACCAGGAAGTCACAGCTTGATTCCCAATCAAGCCAGATAACTGGGTTGCAGGCTTAATCCCTAGAGGGGGGTGTGCAGGAGGCAGCCCATCAATGATTCTTTCTCATCACTAATTTTTCTATCTCTCCCTCCCTCTCTTTTCATCTCTGAAATCAATAAAAATCCTATATAATAAAAGGCTAATATGCAAATTAACTGGAGGGGGAACTCCCAGTTGCTATGACATGCACTGACCAACAGGGGGCAGATGCTCTCCCTATCTCTATTTCTATCTCTATCTCTATCTCTATCTCTATCTCTATCTCTCTCTATCTCTATCTCTATCTCTATCTCTATCTCTATCTCTATTTCTCCCACCTTCCCTCCTGTCTTTCCACTCTATCTAAAAGCAATGCAAAAAAATATCTTCAGGTGAGGATTAACAAGAACACAAAAAATGAATTTTCTTTGACAAATCAAAGCTCTAGCCCAAAAAGCTCTAGCTCTTTAATGTCTAGGAAAAGCCATGGTCCCAGGAGGACAGCTCTGCCTGAGGAATGAGGGTCCCTGAGAGGAAAATGACCCTGGGGCTTATTTCCAGGAAAGAGGGGCTGGAGGCTGTCTTTGTGAAAAAAGGGAACTTCATGAAGAAACATGTGATAGAGGACCCACAATCTGGTGTCATAGAAGGGATGTGTGTCCTTCCCTTATTTCCCTGCATTTCCCCTCTGTGCTCATTGTCACAGGGACATCGCCCTTAGCTGCACAGTTAGAGGGTGAGCCTGTCCTTGCTGATCTGAGCTCTGCACGCCACGGGGACCCACGTCTTCCTGAAGCATCTCCAGGACCCGGGTGACACTGTCCATGGTGAGGACCACAGGGAGGTGCTGATGGACCGGCTGAGGAGGAAGGAGACCCCGTGGGGGAGGCTGTGACAGGGAAGGACGTGCCCTGGGCCACCTCAGCTGGAAGGGGCGTCTCAGGAGGCTCCGGGTCTATTTCCTGCTTCACCATGAAAATGAGAGCCAGGCTGCTAGAGAGGCTGGGCCCTCCCCTATAGGCTGCTGATGTGACAACCCTGTGACGGGAAGGACCGGCCTCCAAGTAACCACCACCTGTGTGTCTGTCTGTCCATTCCGCTGGCCCCGTGGCCTCCTCCATCTGCTCAGCTGAAGCCTCTGGGAGAAGATGCCATGACTCCCACCCTCAGAGCCCTGCTCTGCCTTGGTGAGATGGGAGGGGGAGGGGACCCTGGTCTGTCAGCACCCTAGGACTCAGGAGGCTCATGGGGAGGAGGGTGCTGTTCAGGGTTCAGGGCAAATCTCTCATAGGGACTCTCTTCCAGGGCTGAGTGTGGGCCTCAGGACCCCAGTGCAGGCAGGTGAGTCTGTCCCCAAGTGTTTCAGGTCCCACTCCTCCCTGGGGACAAGGGCCACCCTCCAGGCAGCAGGGAAAAGGGTACAGATCTGTCTAACAGACACGGGGCATCTGGGACCAAGAACTGGGGACCAAGTGTGAGAATGTCCTGTGACCCAGCTTCTGATTTATTCCAGGGCAGCTCCCCAAGCCCATCCCCTGGGCTGAGCCAGGCCCTGTGATCCCCCGCGGGAGCGCCGTGACCATCTGGTGTGAGGGGTCCCCAGGGGCTGAGGAGTACCGTCTGGAGAAAGAGGGAAGCCCAGCACCATGGAAAACACAGGAGCCATGGGAGCCCGGGGACAAGGCCAAGTTCTCCATCACACACATGACAGAGTATGATGCAGGGACATATCACTGTTCCTATCGCAGCCCCACTGGCTGGTCAGATCGCAGTGACGCCCTGGAGCTGGTGGTGACAGGTGAGAGGACACTCAGGGGTCCCAGCCTCTTGTCCTACCCTCAGGAAGCGGGTCTGCTCTCAGGGTGTCTCCCTCTCACAGCCCAGGCCAGGGGGGGCGTGAGGGAGGTGTGAACCCCATTTAACACGCTGCCTCCTCCTCTCCTAGGATTTTACAGCAAACCCAGCCTCTCAGCCCTGCCCAGCCCTGTCGTGACCTCAGGAGGGAACGTGACCCTCCGGTGTGGCTCACGGCAGGGATTTCACAGGTTCATTCTGACTAAGGAAGGAGATCACAGGGTCTCCTGGACCCAGGACTCACAGCGACAGCCCAGTGGTCAGTACCAGGCCCTGTTCCCTGTGGGTCCTGTGACCCCCATTCACAGGTGGACGTTCAGATGCTATGGCTGTTCCAGGTACAATCCCCAGGTGTGGTCACACCCCAGTGACCCCCTAGAGCTCCTGGTCTCAGGTGAGCAGCCCTGTCCTGTCCTCTCTGGGCTCCAAGGTCATCTCTGTCTCTGTTCCCAGCAAAGTCTGAGATGTGATGGAAGTCGGTGGAGCACTGAGTGGTTTCACAGAGTAGGATCATCTGTGAAAGGGTGGACACAGGCAGGGACCTCCCTCCCCTGGGAAAGGCGGCCCTGCAGTCTCAGACAGGCCTGAGGGAGGAGGGAAGTGGCACTACTGGCATGAAACCAAGAGGAAGTGAGATTTGACTGAAGTGGGCAGACAGAGGCCCTGCCCCTAATTTCTGGTGGCTCCACCTTAGACCAGAGCATCGCTGCTCCCAGGGGGACATCCCACAGGCGGGACCCCGGGAAATGGGGCTGAGTGTGTGTGTGGACTCAGCTCTCCTGGGAGGTGAACTCTGAGAACCTTTTCTCTCTGAACAAGGGGGCTGCCTGCCATGACCTGTAGGGGTGCTTTCATTTCTGACTTCCTGGGGCCCCTGACACCTGGTTTGTCCTAGACCTGCTCCGGGTGCAGCCTCTCTGAGCCTGTCCTGCTGCTCCCAGTCACTGTGACCTTGTAGGGATTGAAAAGCTGAGGGAGTCAGCGGGCAGGTACACTGATTATCCACCAGGCCTGGGGGCTCAGCTTAGCAAGAAGAAGAACCAAATATTTGGAAACACCCACTTAGCATCTCAGCTCCTCCTGGTTGCACACAGAATCTGTGGGGTTTTCCACTAAAAGCCAGCAGCCCTGCATAGTTCACCTGGTGCCCGGGTCCCTAATCAGGTTGGAGAGTGTGTGGAGTGGGATATGGAGTCGGGGCCAGGTTGGCAGCCTTTGGTGCCCAGGTCTGGCTTGCAGCACAAGGAAGATGGCTGAGCTGATGGGGGAAGAGAGGCCAGGAGAGTTGCAGAGAGGACAGGGGACACTCCCTCGGCTGCTCATTTCCAGAACCCCTTGGATGGACCCCTCACCCACACAGGTGGGGGCCCTGAGCTTCACAGAGCAGGACAGGTGGCTGCTCTGACCAAGGTGGGACCTGCTGTGGGTGACGGTGCCATACCCACTGGACATCCTGCTGTAGTGAGAAGTGTCCCCACCTGTGGGCACCACTCTGCAAGGCCCTGTGCTCACCTAGAGGTCTCCAGGCCCTCAGTGCTCACCTGAGACTCAGGCAGGACCATGGAGGCCTCATGAGGAACTAGGGGCTCCTACCCCGACATTGTGTGAAATTTTCCTTTTGGTGACAACATACATGCTATTTGTTTTCTGGCCTGATTCTATGATATATTTTAATACATTTTTATTGATGTCTGAGAGAAAGGGAGAGGGAGAGAGAGATAGAAATATCAATGGTAAGAGAGAAGCACTGAATGACTGCCTCCTGCATGCCCCACAGTGAGGATTGAGCCCATAACCTTCTGGTTCATAGGTGGACGCTCAACCACTGAGCTACACCGGTTGGGCTCAAAATGTTAATTTCTGCATTTCGATGCATTTTGCAGTTTTATTCATAAAATTGTCCTCACTCATAGCTCAAGAATTGCTCAAGGTCTACATATATACATGTATGCATATTGGAAACCAACCCATGGATCCTGGGTCCTCAACTGTTGCATAAATATAAGCTTTTATACCCAGATGAGTTAGCTTCCCTTGTACAGAGTTTCACAATAAGCAGAGAGATTAGAATAAATAATTATGGCCATGGCCATGGTTGTCTAGTTGTTAGAACACTGGCCCATGCACCACAGGTCTATGGGTTTGATTCCCAGTCAAGGGTCACAGGCTTGATCCTCAGCCCCTGTCAAGGCTTATGCAGGAGGCACAAATTGATGTGTCTCTCTCACATCTCTCTGTTTCTCTGTCTCTCTCCCCTCCCTTCTGCCTTCCTCCACTCTAATCTCTCTGCGCATCAATGAAAAAAATATCCTCCACTGAGGATTTTAAATAAATAAATAAATAGATAGATAAACAAAGAAACAATACCTATCCTATATAATAAAGGTGTAATACGCAAATTAACACTCACGCCCTCACAAGATGGCTGCCTATGACAAGGCCAGCAGGGGCGTTAGTGAGGGACGACCAAGCGACTGAACAGCAGGCTGTGTTGTGTGGGGTGACCAGGTCAGGGGCTGTCTGGGGGACATTCAGGGTCCTGGGGCAGTAGGGGATGACCAGGCCAGCAGGGGGGGCAGTTGTGGATGACCTGGTTGGCAGCAGGGGCAGTTAGGAGTGACCAGGCAAGCAGGGGGGGCAGTGAGGGGCAACCAGGCAGGTGGGGGGGCAGTTAGGGGCAACGAGGCAGGCAGGCAGGTGAGCGACTAGGAGCCAGAGGTCCAGGATTGTGAGAGGGATGTCCGACTGCTGGTTTAGGCCCAATCCCAGTCTGAATCTGCAGTCGGATATCCCCTGAGGGGTCCCATATTGGCGATGGTGCAGGATGGGCTGAGGGGACCCTCCCCCTGTGCACAAATTTTGTGCACTGGGCCTCTAGTTGTCTATAATGAGAAAACATATTTCTCTCCCATCCTGAATTCTCTGGGCAAAGCCAACGTGCTCCAAAGTGACTCAGAAGCAAAGTCTAAACTCAAAATTTCCAGGAAGCCTGAAAGAATCCATGAAAGCAGAAAGGACCCTTCTCCAGCAGAAAAGGGGTTCATGGAGAAACTGATAGCAGTAAGGTCATGAGAATGGGGAGAGTTATGGGAACGCTGGGCTTGAGTGGCATCAACTGCTTACACAGCCCACTTCTTTCTGCATCTCAGGAGCAGCCGACACCATCAGCCCCTCACAGAACAACTCAGACCCCAAGAGTGGTGAGTAGGAGACATTCTATGTTATAGGGTTCAGCACAGACGGTCATGTCCTGTCAAGGGAGGGGGTGTCTGGGTGGATATTCAGGGTCCTGGGTGAGTTTGTCCTGCCCTGACCTCTGTGACCTGTTTGCCCACAATTTCCAGCCTCCCACTTCCAAGACTACACTGTGGAGAATTCCATCCGGTTGGGCATGGCTGGATTGGTCCTGGTGGCGCTTGGGGTGCTGCTAATTTGGTCTCAAAAGAGCCAGAGAAGGACCCAGGAAGCAGCCTGGATATGAACATGGAGGGAAAATGCATGGTCAGAGAGGGGGATCTGGGAATGTTCTGCAAGATAACGTGGGACATATGCTGAGGGACCTGTCTGCAGCTCCTTGAAGGTGGAGGAGTCATCACTCATGTGCAGGGACAAGGTCTGGACCTTCTGCCCTTGGACTGTGGTCCTTTCCCTCCCAACCCCTTTGAGTCCTGTGTTTGGTTCCTGACTTTCCCCATTTTGGTGAAATTAGTATTTATCCCACATGGCAAATATTAGGTCACACCTCCCTACACTTGCATGGAATATGTTTTCATTTATTTCTAACCACACAGACCTTGATGTCTGCACAGAGTCCCCATCTCCTGAGACCAGAGCATGCCGTCTATTGGAATCAATCTACAAGGTGCACAACCCATCCTGCTAGAGATGAACCCACAGGAGGTCCTAATGGCCTCTATGGACTCCACACGCCCCTCACCTGGCCTTGAGGCCACCTGTGATCTTTCTGCAGCAACCTCACCCCTTGGATGGAGACTTGGTTGTTTGAAGGGGACGCCCGGTCTGTGCTGCCTCTGAAAATCACATTGTCCAAAATATAGTGCAAGACACAGATGATGGGTTACAGATGTACAGACTTGAAACCTATGTCCTGCTATTCACTGATGGCACCTCAATAAATTTAATATAAAAATATCACTGATTCCTGTCATTTGCCAATTTCTCTGGTGTATATGCCCCCTTCACGGCCAATGTCAAGTGCCCATGTAAGGTCCTCACGCAGACTTGGGAGGTGATGCACAAACTGACTTTCATAAAACAGTACGAGCCAATGTTGGACACCATTAACACTACACTGATAACCCCACAGTGCTCCTAAGTCCCCTTCTAGTTGATGTGTAATGATGGTTTCTACTTCAAGGTTGGGGCACAGTTTCCATGAAGCACAGTTTCCATGAAAACACAAGACCACACTCCCAACCTATCCAGATGAGGTGCACAAAGGAATGCTTTGATATCGCTTGTGGGAAAGATGAATAATTTGTACATATTAGACCAGGCATTTGCTCTTATAAAAAATTTTTTCACTCATTTCAATGATCTAATAAATGTTCAATTGAGTCTCCAATTATGTACAGACTTTATGTATTTCAAGGACATGTGACGAGTGTCTGTTTAATATAGTATTTTAAAAACTAAAATGAATTTTATGATACACTATTGCATCATATTGTTGAATATTTATATAGCAATTAGCTAATTTTATTAAATGATGACAACACATTCTTTATTCATACAACATACCCTTTAATGATTTGGGATAAGAGTGTATGACTGCATATATTTGGTTTTATTGGCATGTGTCCTTTGATCTAAGCCTTGAGCCAGTCCATTAATCTTTTAATGTTTGGTCATAACTTAAAACATTTTCAGTGTTACCACCTTTTATTTAAGTGGAGTTTTTTGTTAAGTAAATCATTTTTTATTTTTCAACTGCAGTTGACACACAATTCAATATTAGTTTCAGGTGTACACCATGGTGATTAGACATTATATAATTTTCTAAGGGATCATCCCAATAAATCTTATACCCATCTTGACACCATACATAGATATTGGAATATTATTGACTATATTTCCTATGCTGACGTAAATCCCTTGACTATTCTGTAACAATCAATTTGTACTTCTTAATCCCCTCACCTTTTTCACCAGCCCCCATACCCCTCTCATCTGGTGAGAATAAATTTATTCTCTGAATCTATGAGTTTGTATCCATTCTGCTTGTTAATTTATTTTGATATTTAGATTCAATTGTTGATGGATATGTATTTATTGCCATTTTGTCACTCATATTTATTACTTTTTCTCATTCTTCTTCTTCTTCTTCTTCTTCTTCTTCTTCTTCTTCTTCTTCTTCCCAAAGACCCTTTAACATTTCATAAAATACTGTTTTCCTGGTAGCCCCACCCCACTCTTTTTGCAGTCCCACCTAAGGTGTTTGCAGCAGCTTTTCCATATGAATGGCCTGTCCTGGATCAGGACTCAGGCTTTCCTAAAGTCTCTGAAACAAGAAGCAGATGGTGTCCCTGTGCCCAATAACACTCAATAAGAAACCCAAGGCCTGCCTCAAGCAGCACTCTACCTGACTTGACGGCTTGGCCTCTCCTGGGCACTTCCAAGCCCAACACAAGTAGCAGCCATCTAGAGATCATGCTGTAGCTCCTGTCAGGTGGCCCAGGAAGTGCCTGACTTTACACCTCTCTGGAGGCCCCAGAACCACTGTTCCCAGAGAACAGCTTCAGACAATACCAGATTAGAACTCTACGCATTCATCAGAGACACAATTAAAGGGCAGACTCAGTGAGCACCAAAGCCCCACTCAAGCAAGTCCTGCTCTGTAGGGTGCTTCCTGCACAGCATCTCCTCCATTATAGTCACAACTGGTACTCACAACCAATTGGCCTGGAGGTCATTTACTCCCAGTGACACTAATAGCAATCAAGGCTCAACTACAACACAGTGAAGACAGTGCACACAGCCCACACATGGGCTCACCTAGAGTGCCCTGCTCAGGTAACTGGGGAAGCTGAGCCACTGGGCCCTACAAGACACCTACTATGCAAGGCCGACCTACCAAGTCCAGGGCACCTAGCAGCTCTACATAATACATAGAAACAAGCACAGGGAAGCAGCCAAAATGGAGAGACAAAGAAACATGTCCCCAATGAAAGAAAGGAAGAAATCTCCAGAAAAAGAACTAAATGAAATGGAAGCAGACAAACTACTACATACAGAGTTCAAAACAATGGTTATAAGGTTGCTCAAGGATCTTAATGAGAGCTTCAAGTGGCTTAAGGAGAATTTAAAAAATCTTAGTGAGAACATCAAAGACACGAAAAAGGACCAGTGAGAAATTACACATACACTAACTGAAATAAAGAATCATTTACAGGGATTCTACAGTAGAGTACAGAATGCCAAGAATTAAATCAGTAATTTGGAATATGAGGAAGCATAAAATGCCCAATCAGAAAAGCAAACCAAATCTAAAAATATGAACATAGTTTAAGCAGCCTCTGGGACAACTTTAAACACATCAACATTCACATTGTGTAAGTGCCAGAAGGAGAAGAGACAGAGCAAGATATTGAAAACCTTTTGGAAAAAACAGTCACAGAAATCTTCCCCTACGTCGTGAAAGAAATAGACTTACAAGTCCAGGAATCACAGAGTCCCAAGCAAGAGGAACCCCAGGAGGCCCACACCAAGATACATCGTAATTAAAATCCCAAGGGTTAAAGACAAAGTTATAATCTTAAAAGCAGTAAGAAAAGCAGTTACCTACAAGACACTGCCCATGTGACTGCCAGATGATTTCTCAACACAAACTTTGTAAACCAGAAAGAAGTGGCACGAAATATTCAAAGTGATGAGTAGCAAGGACCTACAACCAAGATGACACTACAAAGCGAAGCTATTAGTTGGAGTTAAGGGTCAGGAAAGAGCTTCACAGAAAAGAAAAGGTTAAAGCAGTTCGTCACCAACAAACCAATATGAAATGTGAAGAGGAAGAAGAAGAGGAAGAAGAGAGGAAAAGGAAGAAATAAAGAAAGAAAGTAAGGAAGGAAGGAAGGAAGGAAGGAAGGAAGGAAGGAAGGAAGGAAGGAAGGAAGAAAGAAAGAAAGAAAGAAAGAAAGAAAGAAAGAAAGAAAGAAAGAAAGAAAGAAGAAAGAGAAAGAAAGAAAATGGCATATCTAACAAGAATAAATACATATCTAGCAACAACTGATCAAAACTCAAAATAAACGATCAAAGAATCTAATGAACAAAATAAACTGGTGAGAATAAAAGAGAACCAGAAGCATGGACTGATGAATCTCAGAGGGAAGGGGGAGGTGGTCAGGAAGAGATTAACCGAAGAACTTATACGCATATATGCATTACCAATGGACACAGGTAATAGGGTGATGAAGGGCTGGGAGAGGACGGGAACCAGATGGAGGGGAGCAAGAGGGAGAAAAGAGTTGACATCTGCAATACTTGCAACAATAAGCATTTTTTTAAAAAAGTGGGTCTCTTATAAGCAACAGAAATAATAAATAAATAAATAAATAAATGTTTTAAGTCAACATCAAATCTCCCACGCAAATCAGTGTCCCTTAAAGCTTGAAGGCAGGACCACAGGATGAGGAGGAGACTTTAACACAGGAAACAAGGTGTACTTAGGAGGAAAAATAACTCAGAAGCATGTCCCCAAAAGGCAGGGGTAGATGCTGTTGCTACAAATATAAGGTAAGGTCCAAGAGGGCAGCAATGATAGAAGGAAGCCATACTTGGGGCCAGGAGAAGTGACATGTGTCCTTCCCTTATTTCCCTGCATTTCCCCTCTGTGCTCATTGTCACAGGGACATCGGCCTGAGCTGCACAGTTGGAGGGTGAGCGTGCCTCAGCTGATCTGAGCTCTGCAGGCTACAGGGACCCACGTCTTCCTGAGGCGCCTCCAGGCCCGGGTGACACTGTCCATGGTGAGGACCACAGGGAGGTGCTGATGGATGGGCTGAGGAGGAAGGAGACCCTGAAGGGGAGGCTCTGACAGGGAAGGACATGCCCTGGGTCACCTCACCTGCAAGGGGCCGCTCAGGAGGCTCCGGGTCTATTTCTTGCTTCACCATGGAAACCAGATGCAAGCCTCTGGGAAGGGAATGTTCCCCTTTCTGTGGGGCTGCTGACATAAGAGTCCTGTGACAGCGACGGCCAGCCTCCCAGGGGCCACACCCTGTGTGTCTGTCTGTTCAGACAACACTGTGGCCTCCTGCATCTGCACGCAGGGTGCAAAGAGAGGAGACGCCATGACCCCCAAGCTCAGGGCCCTGCTCTGCCTCGGTGAGATGGGAGGAAGGGGAGGATGGAGGGGACCCGTGGTCTGGAAGGGACCTTGCCCAACAGCCAAGCCCTGGTCTGTCAGGATCCCAGGACTCAGCAGTCTCATTTGGAGGAGGATTCTGCTCAAGGTTCAGGGAAAATCTCTCACAGGGACTCTCTTCCAGGGCTGAGTGTGGGCCTCAGGATCCATGTGCAGGCAGGTGAGTCCTCCCCAGGCTCCAAGTCCCTCCTCTTACTTCACCCGTGGGGTTCAGGAGGGAGCACAGAGGTGCTGGGATGAGGTGATAAAATGAGAGGGCCTTGGACTGAGCTGGGGATGAGGGCGGGAAGG